GCGCGCGCTGCAGGAAACTCCCTTCCCCAGTTACGTTTTTGCACGCCTGGGTGTGTGTTTCTGCAAAAACGATTTTGCTCTGTCCGAAGATGCGTGTCTCGGGCGCGCACACGCCCGATGTGTTTATGGATACCTTCCGTACCATCGATCTTCCGCGTTCTACAACGCGCGCGGCAAATACGCGACTGGTATTGTTCTAAGAGCAACAAGGATGCGCGCGCGGTCGGCATACCGGTGCAAATAGCGAAGCACGCCCAAGCGCGCACGATCCTACAACGGATTATTCGCCGTCCCGGGCATTAATTCCTTCTCCCGGCCGCGATTTCTCGCGTGATTCTGTGACGATCGTCTGAAAAAAGCTCGATTTATCGACAAAGTTTTGAGAATTGTTTATTTAATCTGACTCTAATTACACACATTTAATTTGTTTAAGCACCATTTATCACCGACAGTTTCTGAAAAAACATTATTTGTTTTATGTTTAATTAAGTATATTTTAAATATTTATTGAACTTGATATCGTTTTTTTTCGCCTCGAAGTCGAATTTCGATTTTATCGATACGAACGATCTCGCGTTTTAAACAGGTTAGATCGAAGCGGGTGATTAGCTCGGCGTGTCAATACCAGCTTAGTGATGGTTGACTATTGGGCCCGGGCTCGAATCTCCCCGCCTCATATAGTGGCAAGGGACGAGACAGTCTCTCGAGTTGTCTCTCGGAATTCATCTTATTGTTAATAAGAAAACTCCGAGAAGGGATCTATATGTGCGCATATACATACATATGAGGGTATATATATATGTCAACAGTATACATCTCCTTGCCAAAAATAATCTTTATCTAGTTTAAGTTGGCTAGAATAAAGATATATGTGAATGTGGTGCTGTCAGTATATAATTATCTCTTGTTCTAGTGAGCTTGAAATAGATAGATTATTTATTTTTCTTTTTTTTAAGTTATATAATTTCTTTATATTATTAAACATTCTGTTTTAACTTGGATACTATGTAAATATATTAATAATAAATTAAAAAATATTTAAAAACTTACAAATATTAACTTATAACATATAAATAATGTAAATTATTTTTTTATTTTTTTAATATTGCAAGTAATTAGTTTTTACATTTTTTTTCTTTTTTTCTTGTAATTTTTTTTATATTTTTTATTTTTTTCTTGTAATTTTTCTTATACGCATAGACGAAACCATTTACACGAGATAAATAAAAAAAACATAAATAATAAAACATGCACGGAAACGTAAAGGCACGGAAATGTAAAAACTGACAAAAAATCGAGTTCGAAAATGCCGATTGCATATAAATGGAAATCGTCGACGCGACTGCCGAAAACTTATTACGAAGAGGTCCGGGATATGCGACAATAATTAACGGATTCATCGGCGCTCAAATTTGCGAACGGACGAACTTCCGAACGCGTCGATTCTTCCGGGTAAACGACCGTCGTCGACATCGGTAATCGATATCGTTCGACCAGCCGAGTGAAACGAGTTTCGGGGGATGCGATGACGGTAAAACCAGGAGACCTCACACACACACACACACAGCGTGGGAGCTCTCTTTCTCCCCCTCGATTTTCTCGTTGATAGCTCGCCGTGTAACCCTATAGGAAACCCCTGCCGCGCGCGAGTTTCACCTTGCTGCTTTCCGTTACCGCTCATCATTACGCGCGAAAACGATCCGGCTGCCAATGAGTCGGGCGCAAAAAGCATTTCTCGCGCGACCGTATGCACGTGCGCGCGAACGCGCTTTTAACGCGCGAGAAGCGAATAGACGCGCGCATCACGGTCGGCAATTCTGTATGTTTTGACCCTATTCTTTCCTCGCATGGCGAAGTGTCACACGCTTATCTCTTCGGTTACTTTAGAGAGTGTGCGCTCGCGACCGGTTGCCGAGACCGGAGAGAAAATCCGTCTTTTTTTCGCGGTGCTCCAGTTCGACTTCGCGGATCAAACGATCGCATAATTGAGAAACCATCGCGCGGTCGGAAAAAGAACGGGTTCGACCGAAGGAGGCCCGTTCGAGGATGAAATTCTCAGCCTCTGTCCCGCGGTTACGCGAGCTGAAGACCGATCTTCTTCGGAAAATCAAGATGTAGATATTTTTTTTTTCTGAAAAACAGCAGCTTTTTTTTGTTTTGACTTATACAAACACGACAACTCTTTTTCCATTTTCACACATTTACGTGCTTTTCTCGCGCCCGTATATTCTCGGACGATAATTTTACCTCGATGTCACACAATTCACGTCTAACGCACAAATCTCGACTTTCTTTTTTTGAAGAAAAGAAAACGCGTTTCTTTTACTTACGAGCGTTATAAAATCCGAAACGGAGCTTCAAGGGAGAGCGGGAGGAAGGGGAGAAATGTTCGAACGTATTTTACGAAACGGTCACAGAAATATTCGCGAGACGTGTCCGCCGAGAGAGCGGCGCGATACTTCGAAGAGCCGCGCGCGGCTGTAGTAATTTACATGGTCGCAAATCGCTTCGGCAATTTCGCTCGGACGTGTCGGATCGTTTCTTCCTCTTCTTCTTCTTATTTATTTTTTTTTTTTTTGTTTTTTATCGCGATCGTCCATCAAGTCGGGAAGGATTTCGCGAACCGAGATCGCAATCACGGCCGTTCGTTTCAAACGAATGGTAAACCCGTCGTCGTGCGCGTAGACCCCCTTTCTTCCGTCCATCGACACCGTGTCATCCGGACAGCCGCGGGATATACGCGCGCCTCTAACCGAGAGATGTATCGATTGCCGCGTTCTCTCTTCGCGCGACCGTTTTTGCACGCGAGTTCGCACACACGCACACACACACACACACGAGAGGCCGGTCTCGCCCAGAAAGAAAAAGATAGGGATTCGAACACGGGAGGGATGAGCTTCGAGGAGGGTTCGAAGGATATACACAGGAGGGTTAACAGCGGCAACCGGAATTAATGCGAAGCGGAGTAAAGCGCGTCCGGGATTGTAGTCTCGCGCGCGCGAGAGAGAAAAGGGATTTATGCGCCGCCGTAGCGTTGATAAAATATATCCTGCGGCATCGCTGAGATATATACGCATATACCTCTTCTTCTTCTTCTTCTTCTTCTTCTCCTCCCGTTCCTTACGATGCTCGTTTTACCACCATCTCGCGCGCGAGAGGAGGTTGCGCTCTATTTGCGCGTTTTCGCATCGCGCACTTTCGCGCATACACAGTCAAACGAATCGGAAGAGAGAGAGAGAGAGAGAGAGAGGGAGAGAGAGAGAGAGATAATCGATGAGTCAATGTAAAATTAATGTAATTAAAATAACAAGAATTGCGGTATACGCCCATACGAGATCGAAACGTAAAAAAAACGTTTGTTTTCCTCGGCCAATAAATAATCCACGCGATTGTTTAACCAGCGTGGGCTCTCACCGACCTTGTTTCGTGTGTTTGTTGATTTGTATTGTTCCTGAAGTACCTTTTTGCAATCGAATACTCCAGGGCGCTCAAGTAACTGTTTCTTTTTTTAATATCCATCCTGTTTGCGATATTTTTCTCTCTCTCTCTCTCTCTCTCTCTCTCTCTCTCTCCTTCTCACATCTCTGAAGAGAGGTGTGTATGTGTACTACGGTAATTAGCGTTTTAACGGCAAGACCGCCGGAGAAGCGGATCTGTCCGTTGTCCGGGTATCCGACGAGATGAGAAAGAGATCGCGAAGATAAGAAGAAGAGAGCGGATAAAGGAGAGAGGGAGAGAGAACGTCGCGTACTTAGAGAGGCCTTTCGTTACGGAGAGACGAGGCGAGAGTCCGGTCGCTCCGCCGCGGTCAATGGCTGCGGCATCCGCAGGTTCAAGGAAACCGGGCTGGTCCGATTCGACATCGTGTGTTTCACCACACGAGGGGGGAAACTGTGAACAGGTGACGCGCCTGTCTTTCTCTCCGCGAAAATGCAGGTTAATGGAATGCCGTCGTCTAAAGTGGCCTGCGCGCCGCACTGCGGGGACCGCATACGATTACACTCGGCGACTGGATTCCCAGTGAGTTCTCCTCCACGCTTCGGCGATCGAATGGGGAACCATGTCGTGTATCTGATGTCACAGAGAGAGACGACGGTTCTACACAACCTAGGGCAGGATTTTTGTTTTCGCGCGATAGACACATAGGCTTGTATATCGCGTGAAAAAAAAAAAAAAAAAAAAAAGAAATTCAGAGAGAGAGAAAAATGTTTATCCGAATGTTTTTTTTTCCTTCGCGTTGCTTGTTCGATTAATAAATAATTTTGTAATTTAACAATTTCAATGGAAGAGCAATAAGAATTGTAAAGATTTGAAGACGCCGTGAGACGACGCTTGATCGACGTTTGATCGACCACCATCTGTCGAAACAAGCGGGGCGATCGCGAGAGACCCGAGCGGTTTTGAATGAAACGATTGTTTCTCGCCGGAATTTCTAATGAGGCAACAACAAATCTCTTATTGTTACGCGAGCTATCTTTCACAAGTCTTTTTCATAATCTACTCGTTTATCGATCGATTGTCGAAGCGACTTTCGCGCATCGTTCGACTCGAAAACCATCCTCGCGACGAAGAAGATCCCGCGAAGGTTTTCTTCCATCTCGAAAACGCATCGCGATCGCGTTGTTCGAAACGCCGTGAAATTCAATATCGAAACGCAATACGAGACGAACGTTCCCGCGTCGAAGTTACCTTAATTGATTTTGTTTAATTAACCGGCGACCCTCTTATCTCGCCCGTATTTTGACGCGCGCGGCGCGAGGGTCGCTCCGCACGCGCCTCTATCAGTGGATTCTACGTAGCAACCGAACTCTCATCGATCGGTCTTTTCGAAAGGCCGCGCCGAGGGACACCACGAGAACCCCAACCGGACAAGGACACGAACGGGGGAGTAGGCGCAGTTTGGTGCGTGTATGTGTGCGTGTGCGTGCGAGTCGTATAACGTACGCAGGACTTCCGTATCGATTGAATGCCGTATTTTTTTTTTTTTTTTTTATTCGTACCTGTGCATGAAGGCGGCAGCTGACATGTTACTATCCATAGGGTAGTTCCATAAATCCCGGCTCGGCCCCGCCAACGCGACCCCCTCGACGACACTCTCGGCCCAAACTTCCTGTTGTACTTCTGACGAAGCTTCTCTCTTCCTCTCCAGGTCACTTCTTCGGTATCCTTCCTTCGTTATCCTTTCTTCGGTATGTCGCGACCTCGAGAGAGATCTTTGCCGATGTTTCTTCGCGAATAGACGAAAAGATACGCTAGACAAACGCGGCTGGCAACAACGACCGGTAGGAGAAGCTCGCCCGACGTACACCTGTCAACGCGCCGACGACCCGAACAGGTTGAAATCATCTGCCGGACTGGAGTCGGAGTGCGCACTGTCGATCGGTTTCCATGGTGGTGGGCCGATGGTGGCGGCACGGCGGTGGTGGTGGAGAACTGGTGGTGGTGACGGAGGCGGCGGCGGCGGCGGCGGCAGCGATGCTCGATGAGTTCTCCTCGCCGAGAATCCTGCGGCCTCCGGGGGAGAGGGGATTTTGACAGGACTGCGTTCTCCGTCAGACAACGACACGGGCCTTAAGGCACTGTGCGCATGACAGTGCCGAGAAACACCCATGGGACGTGTCGTCGTTCTGCCTCGAGAATTGCGAAGCTTTATTTTGCGAATTTTCCTACAAGCTTGTTATTTATTTGAATAAAACTCTGCTGTTTTCTTCAATTTCTTTAAATACGCAAAGCACACAGATTTGATTTTTTAAACAATTTTTTTTCTCGAGTAAATCCGTGGTTGTATCTCTGTGCGACAGAGCGATTTAAACAATTACCTGGAAAACTATGTACAATATCTGCAATATTAAAAATTGAATTTTAATTAAAATATACATTTCCTCGATATAAGAAAAAAAAATAACAAGAAATATATAAAGCCTTACGAGCCATTCGCAGGATGTTTGAGCGGAAACTGTACGTGTATATATATACATACACATGTAACGAATTCAACTTGTAAATTTTTACAAGTGAGTGTTTTTTGAGTTGAAAACTCACAATTCTTAAATTCATACGGGATGCTGGATTTGCATCTCACATATGACAGACCCCGGATACCCTCCTAACTAATTTTTAAAATATTGCGAAAAAAACTCCTCGGCCAGGAGTCGAACCTGGAATCTCCGGCTTTCCATGCCATTTTTTCGTAAGGTCCGTAAGACCTTATATATTTCTTGTTATTAATTTTAACAAGCCTTAAGTCATAATTGTTTAAAAAAAAAACAAATAATAATTTTAACATAGAATAGAATGTCTCGGAAACCGTCACACACGCGGGATTTGGAAACACGATCGACGCGTGTCGCGTAATAATTTTCCACCGCTCCACAATTTCTTCACGCATCTCACGAGAGAGAAAGTAAATGCATCCTCGGCGATTGTCTTCATCGCGAAGGTTGTTCGGATGCAGTTCTTTTTAATGCATTGTCGCGTTTTAGCGTAGGTTTTTCAACGATCACCGTATTGTCTTCTTGGCGACAAACGAACGACGACAACGCGGGCTCCTTATAAGGGCCAGAAAAATGTTGGCACGAACGAAACACAAAACTCGGCGGAAAATTACCAGTTTTTTCCTTTCTTTTCGCTTATATTCTTCCGCGCGGTTCTATTCGCGAATCGGCGTCGCGAACGTTCCCGCCGCGAATGTTGGTTTTTCTTAACTAATAAATATATATTCGGTCATTGGAGCCATTCACTAGGTGTTGTGCGGAAATTATACGTGTATATATGTCCATATATACGTGTTCACATGTAAATTTT